TCTGGTGCCTATAATAATATATAATGCAAAATTAATGAAAATTAAATTGGGAGTTTATACTTCATATTTTAGAAATAAAAATGACGGGGGGAAAAATGTATGACGTCTTTTAAACGAAATTTTCTAGCATGACCGACCTGCCTGCTTCACTTAAGTCACTGCTTATTAAGTTCTGTCCAAAATTACCGTGGCCCACCCAAAAATGAAAACCTGGCGCCGCGCCTGTTATAAACCTCTGCAAATTGTTGTTCTTCACTTTATCAAACTCAAAGTTTGTACAGCTAATGTGAAGATGTAAAATTATGAATTCAGTCGAGCTCTTCCCTCCCTCCCTCTCCTGTTTCTCCTTGAAACCCGACATCGGCTGTCAGGTTTCAAGGAGAAACAGAAGAGGGAAGGGTAGAAGGAGATGAAGCAGAGTGAGTGCGACATAGAGAAACAAATCTGTTGTGGAGGTGAGCAAAACGGCTGGAAAAGTGTGGGTGTTGAACGATCTCAATAAGAAAAGTGTGGGTGTTGAATCCCCCAAATCCCCCATGGGTGCGACGCCAAGGCCCACTCCTGATATAAGCACAGGTCATTCAAACATTTCATTTAAACATCTTGTTCATTCATCACATCATTATTGTAAGCTTATGAGTTGTAAAAGTCATGGAAATTTCCGTTGTTCAGAGTGAAGAATGTTGATGTCTGGCATTCATCCAGAGAGTGTAGGACCTTGGGAGAGAATGTTTGTTTAAATGTTTTGTCTTCATGCAATGTGAACACTTGCTGAACAGAACCTTCTGGTTCTGGAAGGCCAAACAGAAAGTGGATTTATGCTGTAGATGAAAGGTTATTATGTTGATCAATATATAGGTGAAAATGGACCCTTTTGGACGTTACAAAGGATTAATCAGAACACTGAGCTGTGTAAAGAGAACAAAAGCAAAACTCTCCTCAGAAGAGCTGTTGTGAAAGTGAGACGTTAGTGGAAAGTTCTGCTGTTGGGTTTGCAGAGCAGAAATGCTGACCAGCAGGAGCTTTCAGATGTGAACACAGATTAGCTTTCTCCAAAACTTCTTCAAGATTTAGCAAAAGAAAGCAGCGTGTCAGGGTCCCACAAAAGCAAGATCGATGAAAGGCCCACATGCATGAGCTCACTCAGTTTCATATCTGCTTCTGCGAGCAGGCGCACTTCCCAGCAATCATCAGGTGAGAAGAAGGGGACATCTTGGACAGGTCTTCCATCCGTCACAGGGACACACCTTAGATCAACAACCCATCACACACTCCCTAGGGACAATTTAGAGTTAATCTGATCTACAAGGTTTTGGTCTGTGGTCATGCATGAGGAGATCATTCTAGCTCCAGGCTGAAAGGCTGCATCTGCAGTTCAAACCTGCAACCTTCTTCCTGTGAACTGTGCTTCCAACCTCACCACCATGCAGCATCATAGTCAGCACATCCCATCAAAATGTCTCCTGTGCTGAACACCGCTAAAGACTGCTGATGTTTCAAGTATACTCAAACAGAATGTACCAAAAAACTTACAGACAAAAATTATCTTTTCACTTTAGTAACACACTGAAATTAGACAATAATGTGGAGGTTATAGGTTATAAAATAGGTCCTGTCAAGTGCTGTGTGACAGAGTTATTACAGCCTGTCAGTATTTGTCCCTCATGTGTTTAGAATCATCGTTATCATCATCGTTATGGAAGAAGACTCAATTTAGAAAATAATTTTTATGTGACTTTTTTAACGAGTTCACTCAGGTGGATGAAATGCATTTTAAATGTAAAATATGTTCTGTAATCCATAGTGTAATGGGAACAACTGTGTGCAAAAACACCGGAAGCATCCACACGAAAGAACAGCTTTTGGATACTGTGAGCATGTGTCATGACCTTCACCAAAAACCTTCACCATACTTTTGTCAGTCTGTAACATATGTTGTCATCTTTTTTACAGTTTTCCCTATAAACTCACACATGCAGATACACTCTGCTTCACCCTATGAAGAAAAACAAAATAATCTCTTGTTTAAAGATGTAAACATTCCCCTTTATAGAGCACAGCTTTTCTTTAAAACTTCTGTCAAGTGCAGTGACCGAACACAAGTTCTGACTTTTATCTTTCAGTAAAAAGATTATGACATCAGTCAGTCAGCAGGTCACATGCTCTCTGCGTTCTCATGCAATCTCCCATCTGCATATTTAGAAGGTAGTTAGTTATCAGTGTCATCAGCCAAACTATGGACTTTTACCTGAAGAGCAGGTGATGAACGATCAGATGTGTTGAGAGAGATCTCACTTCCTCAGTCTGCGTTGGACCAAACTCTTCACCACGTGTTCTTACCGGTTAGCAACTGTTTGCATTTAGCTGAGAAAATGATCAAAAATGTATGTTGTGATTGGATAAAAATCAATAAATACACATCAGTTTAATAAAAACAAACACACAACCTCATACTTGACACAAGCGGCTGTTGGTTTGACCATTTCCCTCAAGCAGATGTAGGGTGAAAGCTACAAGTTAATTATGACCAATTTACATATCATGATTCCATATAAATATGAAATATCAACCTGACTGATCTTGGAATGTTTAATCAGAAGATTCTAGGGTTGTTTGCTTCTTTAGTGACCATAAACACACTTTGTATTAATTCAGACAGAGTCAGGTGAATAGTTTATACAATTAATTTCATTATTTTTCCTAAACTAATCATTTATACATGACAAGATATGAATAATGAGATGTGGTGAAATGGACTTAGAATGATTTAATGTGATGTGTCAAATGCAATGGAAGCTAGATGTGTTAGCAAAACCATTATTTGTATCTGAGTGAAAGTGTGAAGTCTGGGTTGTAAAACAATTTGTTATTTGTTATAAACTAGAGAGTTGTTTATTTATAAAATTCATCAGACACGATCTGTTGTGTCTACTACCCTTGTGGAGACCCCCCAGTGCAGATCCAGGACTGTCAGAAGTCGGGTGACCTCAAGGTATACGAAGCCGTAGATTAGCTCCGATATGACCCGTCCAGTCTTGAGATGTCTCCTGAGTCACAACAGGCAGCTGGAATGCTTGTCAGCATCCAAGGTGGGTGTTTGCGAGGTGAAGCAGCTCTGAAAAGAGCTGTTTGGCTGTATCAGCTTGCAGCATGCAAAGAGGCTTTTGACTGTATGTCAAAAGAGATGTCTCAAAAAGGCTTGTTCCCGAATTGGCCGGTTCAAGAGTCAGCTAGAAAATGAATTAATCAGGAAGTAGATCTTGTCTTAATAAACCACAATGTTATGAGTTTTGGCCAAGTTTGGCAAATCAGAATTTGACACGTTTTTGAGTCATTACCAACATCCCTCAGAAAGCCACGCCTTCTTCAGATACAAAAGGTTTTAACACTTTGTGAATGAGAATCTTTAAAATTCTGAGGTGAATATTATCCTTAATATGTATCTTATTGTAATGTGTATATATTTCAAATGTTAATTTCTTTAAATTTTGATGATTCTAACTCACAACTAATAAAAATCTCTAATTCAGCATCTCAGCTTATTAGAATATCAAATAAGACCAATGCAAAATTAGAAGAATTGCATTTCTTGCAGAAATGCTGTTTGAATGCTGGATAGCTGAAACTGTAAGCTGAAGCCGCTGAATAGCTGAACTAAACTAATATACTACAAAAGATTGGTCGTATGAGACAACTTTCTCTATGATGTTCATTTCTGAAGGAATCTTGGGCTTCACTGAAGGTCACATGACTTTGACAGTGTGGAGATTGAAACGATAATCTCACATATTCTCTGTAAAAATAACCATGTTGCCCCTATTCCCCACCCCCCACCCCCACCCACCCAAAATTACACCCGTGCATGAACAACACTCAGCATTCAGTTGGGGCTCCTTTGGCCTGGATTACTGCATGAATGAGTTGAATATACAAGTTTCACTTTTTGAAAGAAATTACTGAAATAAAACTTTGTCATGATATTCTAATTTTATGACCATCACCTGTAAATCATCTGGTTGCCTCTGAAAACCCATGTAGAGCCTGGTAAAATTTATGTGTGCAAACCTTTGTGGGGCCACTTTTAAAACTGTGGACAAACCCTGTTGGGACTCATACTGTTTGCCCATATACAGTATAGCCAAATGAGGCTCATTTATGTATGCTTGCTGGAGATGTGCATCTTCATGACTGCTTCCCTTCTGCTGATATAATCTCCCATCAGCCAACCTGTCATTCATCATTTCACATTTTTGGTGAAGGACTGGAACTGGAATCATACCAACCATTTGAACTATGTGTCCTACATAAAGGTCGCGTTGACATGCGTGGTGTGTCAACATGGTGGTTCTGGTCACGGTCACCCTGCCTCAGTGGCTTCACCCATCAGATCAACCTGCTAAATGAAACATGACAGATACTAGATAAAAAGAAACACATCACCTGAGGATGTACGATGACACAAAAGGCTTTTTTCCTGCTGGGTAAAGTGAATTTATTTAGACTAGCAAGTATTAAATGTAATGAATTAGGGTTATTTTCTTAATGGCTGATCACGTTTTTGACTGTGTATACTTGTCTCTGTCTTTTTATTTATCTTATTTCAGCTTCAGGGAACTATGCTAACATCGTTCCTGTTCAGCCTACACTGCAACTCCCCGAGCTGCCACCCACAAAAGTCCACATCACAGATGATGACGACTCAGAAAACAAACGGGACAAACAGGATTAGTTGACTGGTGCCAGAACCATCTCCTGATCAATGAAGAGAAAACCAAGGAGCTGTTGAACATCCAGGTTGTGGGCATTGACATGGTGGACACTTTTAAGTGCTTGGGTGTCCACCTGGACAATAAACAACTGTAGCATGACATTAATGCTCTTTTTAGGAAGGGTCAGAGCAGACTACCTGTTGTGGAGACTGAGGTCCTTGGAGTGCAGGGGGTGCTTCTGAGGTTCTTCTTTGTCTCTGTGGTGGCATCAGCCATCTTTCATGGTGTGATCTGTTGGGGCCAACACATCTGCAGCTGAGAGAGACTCTTTGACATCAGAAACTTTATTAATGAGTCCACATCAGTACAGGTTCAATGCATCAGGAACCAGGAGGAATTCAGCCAAATGAAATCCCCCGAACAACGCCCAAATGCTCCTTTTTATTTACTTGGGGAACACATTACCACTTCCATGGTAGGAGGAAATAGCAACCCAGAATGGACAAACCAATCCATACCTTTTCTAGATTAGCTTTAAATAGCCTAAGGCTCTTTCTTCTATAAAAAGGTAAGCTATCTGCACACAAAGAAATGCTTATGTGGACGAATAAATCCTCTGACCACATAAAGTAACCAAGTTCTGCTGCTGCTGTATTTTCTTTAGATACCACAAAACGATTTTCTAACGATTCAACAACATATAATTAAGTAATTGTAGTTACAGGATGTCTGATTTAATATTTCATGTTAAAGCTTATATTTGCTTTATTTTATTTCACTTTAAATTCCAATCTCACCAAGAAATGTCTAAACGTCATTTTTGTCACAATGACTGTCTAATTTTAGTCCAAAAAACAACAACTTTTCTCACATTATAAGATAACTTTATAATTGGGTAATCTCAGTCTTACATAATGTTTTTGGCACAAACGTCTCGGGTTATGTAACATCTCAGAATGAACCCTGCAGTGAATCGTGCTTCGAGACTTGATAAGAGTCTCTCACAATTGAAAAGACTGCAGAGAACTGAATCATACAAGTCTTGCATACAAAATTGGGTTAACAAAAACTCCTTTAGTCCTCCTTTAGTCAAAATTTGTTCTTGATTAACGGTCCTGTTTTAGTTTAATATTAACAATCTGAATCCACTAATTGAATAAGATTCTATTTTGAGCTTCCTATGTGCACATTGTATCCTAATGTAAACACCGCCTGACCTTACTTTGACCTGAATGCTTGTTTGCACCTTGTCCCCGAAACAAATTCCTAGTAGATGAGCCTCTCACCTACATGGCAATAAATCTGAATCTGATTCTGATTATTTTAATTACTTTTAGACTAGGAAGGCTAAACATGTGGTCTAATTAACCTAATTCAGCTAACTCTAGCTGACCCACAAGCTCCTTCTGGTAACGCTGCTTGCCACCTGACTCCCATGGAGAACCTCTAGTCTATGTCTTTGAACTTATCAATTCTGAGCATTATCAAGAAGGGAGAAAAAACCCACCCCCATTAGGGGTGATGGCGATAAAAGACCACATCTGCCAAAGAGATCTCACTCTTTGTGATTTGAGCCAGAAATCCCTTTATTTAGAAGCTAAAATTACCATTACACTAGAACCTTGTCATCAAGTGGATTACTTTGTTTTTTCATTTAAACTATACATCTGCATGCAGAAACACAATATATGTCTTATAATGCTATAAAGGTAAGTAAGTGAGTAAAAGAGTATGAAATAAAAACATAACATTACAACCATGTAACAGATTATGATAAACTTTAAAACGCAAACGGTAATATCTTGAAGTAAGATTATAGAAATAAACATGCACTAATTCAGTTCGATCTGCTGCATCACTATGCAGCCTTAGTCTCCTTCTATGGTTTAAAGATCAGTCATTGTCCATTGTTATCTAGACCAAAGTAAACAAAAGAGCATTCATACAAAATATCTTCAGTTCACGGTTTCTTATTGGCATGTATCTATTTCCCTTGCTATCGTGGTGTGCAGCACTTTAGTCAGCTGTACTGTGGACACAGTACTCCACAAAAAGGTTGGATAGCCATAGTTGCAGTGATTGTAGCAATTTTCCTTAACCCTATAAGGCCCACTGTATCATATGTGATACACACATTTCCAAGTTTGTAGTAGCTTTATCTCTTTAGTAAGATTAGCATTTTCCAAAACAATCTGCAGTCTTAAATCTTTTAAGATTCTTTTTGTTTTAAGACGAGCATCATTAGCAACTTCTTTATATTCTGACAGAGGATCGAAATGATCTTTATCCATAATAACAGCTTTGGGGTGAGATGTAACTGAGAACTCTGCATGATAATTTGGCACATGTGATTGTAGAATAGACCAAATTGTATCATTTGTAACATTGTTTACACTGATCATGAGAGATGTCACCGGTGTTACAGGCTCCAAAAATGTCTCATTTTCCGAAAAATTTTATGTATTTACATCTGATTTAGGAGTAACACTTCTGCTGATCATGGCTTGTGTAGTGGGTACAGTCGGTGTTGTAACTCCATCAGCCATTATCCACGCCATTGTAGTGGATGGCTAAATTGTGCCCTTAGTTGGAAGCGCTGGAGTCGATGTAAGGATCTCCACAGGTATTTTGTCCGAGGAGTACCGGGGAGCCATTCCTTAAATTCCATTAATTATTGACAAATAGACTTGCTTAACTTCATCTGTTGTGCTAATGAGTGCTCCAGACTATGCAATCCCACAAATTGAGGCAAAATTTTTCGTATAAAAAGAGTACAATCTCCCTCTGTCTCATGCCTCCTGATCTCATTAATCAGCACAAAATCTGATGTTTGTGAGTAGTTGAAAGGTTTTCCTTTGTTATCGTCCCATTGAACTCTAAATGTGTTCTGATGATTCCATCTTGTACACTGGCAGGGTAGTTGAGCCCATTATTCTGAGACCACTTCCACCCTAATCATCGTAGCGCTGGTTTTCTGGTGGATTGACTTGGTCTTCTAGGTTCGTTTGACCCTCCATTAGGTTGCATATGGGGTCTGCTGCATTTGGAATGGATTGCTGGAACCTTTGCTGGAGATATGAACTTGCTTTTTCCAGGTAGGTGTTGTAGGTTGATGGTGTCAAAATTTCCTTCTTGTCCATAAAAAGAAAGGTTCCTACTATCATCATCAGGATCATAGAGCTCCGGACCCCACGTGACTCTCAGTTAGTAGACGCCATTTTGGCAGGTAAAAAAATGTAAACAAACACATGAACGTGAACGGGATCCGCTTGGATTTTACTTCGTCGGAGTTTACTTCACACTTTAAAACCGAAGAAATCGTTTTATATAGTCAGAAATTAAATAGACTAAACATCTCCGACCCTTACCGTGCCCCTGGGATACTTTTTAAAAACGCCAGAAGCTGTCGGAGCGGACTACACCGGACCTGGCCGGGGAACCCCTTGGGATTCCCCTCGGCCGGAGGAGCTGGGGAGAGGTCTGGGACTCTCGACGCTACTGCCCGCTCCGACGCCAGAAGCTGTCAGAGCGGACTTCTTACTGGACCTGGCCGGGGAACCCCTTGGGATTTACCCGGAGGAGCTGGCTCTGGCGGCTGGGGAGAGGGAAGTCTGGGCATCTCGACGCTACTGCCCCCGCAACCCGACTCCGGATAAGCGGATGCAAATGGATGGACAAATAACAGATTTACACGTAAGTAGTTTAAATAGAGTGCTGTGCTGTTCGAATATATAAACTGAACACCAAGAGAAATCACTAGTTTGATTGTTTTCCATGAATAAAATAAATATGTCAGGCAGGAGCGTCTCAGGATCTGTCTGAGATCTGTCTCGGTGAGACAGATAATAGCAATCCAAAGTGCTTTTTATGTGTGATCTGACAATTTCAACCATTGCTTAAAAATGAAATATGGCTTAGCCGGTTAATTGCTGTGATCATAAAACACGGAAACGGCAGCACGCAGAAACACGAGGCAACGTTTTACGTGATGTTTACTTGTTGCTATGAGTAATAAGACAGAAAAAGCCACGCCAAAATAAGTTTAGGAAACCCACTAAGAATTGTAATAAAAGCTTTTAAAATAAATACCATACACAGTTGAGGAAACGTTGGTTTAAGTACCTGATATGAAGTGGTCGCTGCATAAGCGAAAACCTTTACTCTCGGGATCCCACAGTTTCATTTTAGCCCGGTCACTAACGCATTTTATTACAATGATCCAACGTTTGTCGCGTTCTGGATCTTGGGGAATCCTGTAGATGGCTCATTCCTTATGTCGTCTGCGTCTGTTCTGCATCCTGGGGCACAACAGAAATCTACCATATTTCCCATTTGATTGAGTTTTCTGACAATAACAAATAGTCCAGCTGCAGGCTTCTGCCTGCCTAATGGCGCCGTTTCGATTTGAACTGTTGCATGCCGGGAAACGTGACGTCAACTCCCGGAGCTCTATTGGCACAAATGCCATCGGTAGTTGAGACATTGTTGCACTCTTTCCCCAGTTCTTGGAGCTGGGCGTCTCCTGGTGCCTCAGCTCTCCTGGCAATTTCCTCTTCTGCTAAATCTCCTTATTGTTCTTGTGTACGAGGTGAGTTGTTGCTAGGCACCTTAGCACAATGTGACAAATGGTACCAGGTAGGAGAACCTTTAACTTGAACTGCTGTTCCCGTGCTGCGAACAACTCCAAAATGTCACCAGGAGAGACTGCAATGCCTCTCCTGACATTGTTTTTCTAAAAGATTGCACATCTACTGATGATGTGATCAATTTGTTCTAGTAAATATGGTGCCCAAAAACCATACTCCTGTGTTATTTTTCTTTTAACCTCCCCCCTTGCAACATGGGAATGACCATGTGCTTCTTGGATCATCAGACCAAGCAGTTCTTGGGGTGCAACAATGAGACTTTCATGATTTCCCCAAAGGCCAGTCGAATCTTGACTAGCACCTCTTTCCACCCACAGGTGCTTATCCATATCACGGACAGCTTCCTGCATTAACCCTCTCAGGCTCAAAATAAGTTTTGATAAAAGGAAGAATAACTAAGTCCTTCGGGGCTACTTCCGAGTTTAAAAAAATGCTCATCAAATACTTATGTGGAGTACCCAGGTAGGTAGGTTTTAACTTTTGCAAATCTGCATGCCTGCCTCAAGAGGGTTAAGATCACATCTCTCAATGCAATTTTGTCTTCTAGTTCCACCTTATGGGTGACCAACAACACTTCACCTGTTCGGAAAGCCCCTGTTATGGACTTTGCTGCCTCATCAGCTGCAATGTTACCACGTGTATCTC